ATTCATTCATTCATTCATCCATCCATCTGTCCATCACTCATTCATTCATTCATTCATTAATCCATCCATCCATTCATCCAACTATCCATCCATCCATTGACCCATCCATTCATCCATCCATCAATCCATCCATCATCCATCCATCCATCCATCTGTCCATCCACTCATTCATTCATTCATTCATTCATTCATTCATTCATTCATTCATCCATCCATCTGTCCATCACTCATTCATTCATTCATTCATTAATCCATCCATCCATTCATCCAACTATCCATCCATCCATTGACCCATCCATTCATCCATCCATCAATCCATCCATCATCCATCCATCCATCCATCTGTCCATCCACTCATTCATTCATTCATTCATTCATTCATTCATCCACTCATTCATTCATTCATTCATTCATTCATTCATTCATTCATTCATTCATTCATCCATCCATCTGTCCATCACTCATTCATTCATTAATCCATCCATCCATCCATCCATCCATTGACCCATCCATCCATTCATCCATCCATCAATCCATCCATCATCCATCCATCCATCCATCCATCCATCCATCCATCTGTCCATCCACTCATTCATTCATTCATTCATTCATTCATTCATCCACTCATTCATTCATTCATTCATTCATTCATTCATTCATTCATTCATCACTCATTCATTCATTCATTCATCACTCATTCATTCATTCATTCATTCATTCATTCATTCATTCATTCATTAATCCATCCATCCATCCATCCATCCATTGACCCATCCATCCATCCTTCCATCCATCAACTCTTCTTTAACCTCTTCTCTATTACAGGACATGGGGGAGCAGGTACCTATACTATATATGTTAACATGAACCTACGCCAGGACAAACAGATGTAAAATATTATTAGGCTACAATCTGGAATATATCCAGTATCTCTATCGCTCTTGTGTTGACAGCCTGCTCTCGTGCTGCCATGATTTGTGCTTTTGTGCTGTCCTTCAGTCCAGTCCTTTGTACACACTGGTAGGATTTGTTCATATCAGCCACTTCCTCAGTCAGTTGTTGTTGAATGTGCAGGGCTTTTCTTAGCAAGGTTCACTTAAGATGTTGGGGAATATTCTGATGAGAAGTTGTCTACTGGAATAAGACTCAAAGTTCAAGGGCAGAGAACTTAACACTTATTTAGCATGCATAGTGAGAGGCTCCATTTGGGTAGAAACCATAGAAACTTCTGTAAATATCATCCAGACTGATTAAAAAAACAACAACCCAGTGTTTCAACATTTGAGAGAGACTTCTGCTATCACACACACAGATTGGCACGGTACAACATAGATGCTCTGGAAACGGGGAGCCAGGAAGACAGGTCAGGGGGAACATACCATCATCCCCACCTCCAAAGTATGGGTTCCAAGTCCCACTGAAAAGCCCTGACAGAACTAGATTGTCATCTCTGTTGTGTTTCATCTCTTTGACTTTGCCTCTTTATCTCTCCTGACTCTGTGCTGCAGGAGAAGACGGCTCATCCTGCCACGGCTCTGTGTTGCAGGGACAATTTGAGGGAACCATCCATACAGGAAATGGCACTTATCACATAGAGCCAATTCAAAGATATACCAGCAGCCCAAGAGACCACCATTCCATTATCTACCTTGAGGATGACATGGGTAAGAGGGCTTTAGTTAAGAAGAAAAATATACTAAAAATGTCTTAGATCTTAGATTTCTTTTGAAAAGGAAAATGTAGGTTAATGAAACACTTATGAATATTTAATATTTTAGAGGCTGCTGATAGCTCTTTTAATGGTATAGAATGAAAGTGAAGCATGCACATTTGTAGACAGAGTCCAAATAACGCTGCAGCTGGTTTTCCAGATTTTTTTTTTTACAAACAATGGGAAAGACTGAAAAGAGAAATTCTTTGCTGTATTGAATCTACTTCATGATCTATGGTCTTTCTTGGCTGTCTCACAGAAAAACAAATGTGCACAGCTATACACAACACTGTAACACATCCCAAGCAGTTAGAGTGTGTCAGTGGGGCCTGCTGGGAGCTCTGAGGGGGTTTTGAGGCTCTCCCTGTTGGGCACCGGCCAAAGAAAAGACAAACTGAAGGTGGTGTGATTCTTGCAAGAGGAGGAGCTGACGAAACATGGGCTGAAATGAGGATGAAAAGATAATATGTAGTAAAGGGGAAAATGGTAACTTGGTGCATAAAAAAGAGAAGGAAAAGAAGAACTAAAATGATTAGAGTTTTGAAAACAGTTGCTCCGACAGAAAGTTGAAAACGATATTTGCTGGCTTCCTTCTGAAGTGGCCAGATGGAAGCAATTACAAAACAGTCAAAATGAAGACGTGCATGTGTATTTCAATGTGCGTGTGATTGTGTGACTCCACGTGGATGTCTGCATTAGTATAACTTTATTCCAAGGAAGCATTTTACTGGAAACACAGATCAGACTGTACCAAAC